AGGCTGCGCGCCACCAGCGGACCTCGCGGAGTCGGCCAGCATGGGAACGAGCTGGCGGTCGAAAACCAGCGTGCAAGGTGGAACCGTCCGCGCGGCGTCAGAAACCGACGCTGGGGTCGTTACGACACGAACCTGTCACATATGTATCTGCGCTGCCCCTGGCCAGGTCCATCCCGGGCCCATCGACGGTGCGTGCGCCTGCCCTGGCTAAGCGGGAGGGCGTGCGCGCCGATCGTGGGCCCAAGGGGCGGTGCACATGCGCAGATGTCGTCGTCCGATCCAGAGTTGCTCCCTTTTCCCTCTCCCATCAGCCTGGGGCCGCTTGTGATCGTTTGCTTACTCGTTGTTTTGCCGATCGGCGCGGGCCCTCGCACACCCCTCCCCCCTTGGAGTCGATCTTGCCTATTTTTGGCGCCTGTTTCGAGCAGGTGGAGCCCCTCCTATAGGACGCACGGTTCCAAACAGTAGCACGAAACAAAGGTCCGGAGCCAGACTCTCCCTCCCCCCTCCTTTCCGCCCAGTGTCGAAACGCCGAAAAAGAAAACGTTCACAAGTTACTCTTTTTTCCCTCTTCCATCAGCCTGGGGCCGCCTGCGATCCGATTCGGTGTGATTCGGTTCGCCGGCTGGGGCCGATTTTGATTCGATTCGGTTCGCTTCGCAGGCTGGCTGGGCGGGACCTGTCGCGGCGATCTGACTTCTATTCGATCCAGGACGATCCGCTGGCGACCCGCCCCGTGTCCGATCCCGTATGATTTTGCGGCTCGGTCCAGATCAGGCCTGTCAGTTTTTCTTGCTTCTCCACGGTTGCGCTGGGAATGAGATGAGCAAGAGAGGCCATGATGATGATACACCCGTTCCAGGACCATTGCGAATGGCCATAGTACTTCCAGGACTCCCACTTTCTCCGGGTGGTGTCCAGAAACGAGTGCCGCTAATCAGATACCCCAGGCCGAGGCAATCGCACCATGGCATCAGTCTCGTGCAGGGGAGCGCATACGGTCAACCCGCATAGGAAGGATGGGCAACCTTCCCAAGGCTACCCCATACATCCTTGCCTCCTCGGCCCATCCCTGGTCACTTTCGTCGGCCGCGCCCCGCTCGAAAAGCTTCGAAATGGGCCGCCAAGGCCCTTGCGTCCTTACCGCGCATCCTTATGATACGGGTTGACTGTAACCAGATACAGTGGAAACCCATGCCAAGAAACACCCTGCTTGCCTCCAGGGTGCCCTGGGTTCTTGGGTTTGGATGGTTCTGCTTTGGACGGCGTGACGCTCCCACACCAAAATCAGTGGACGTCCTGGGGTCTCCGGGTTTGATTTTTTGTGGAAGGTTTCTTGTGGTTAAGCTCCTGTTGTACCCAGGGTCACTCCTTCCGTGTAGCCGACCAGCGCGCGGCAGAAGAGGAGGAGGAGGAGGAGGAGGAAGAGGAGCAAGAGGAGGAGGAGGAGGAGGAGGAGGAGGAGGAGGAGGAGCAGCAGGAGGAGGAGCAGCAGGAGCAGGAGCAGGACAAGGAGCAGGAGCAGGAGCAGGAGCAGGAGCAGGAGCAGGAGGAGGAGGAGGAGGAGGAGGAGGAGGAGGAGGAGGAGGAGGAGGAGGAGCAGCAGGAGGAGGAGGAGGAGGAGGAGGAGGAGGAGGAGGGAGGAGGTGGACGAGGAGCGAGGCCGAGGCAGTGCGCACAGCTGCACAGCGCGGTCGTGGTGGGGCGCACAGCTGCAACACGGAGAGACACGGGTGCCCCGAGAGGCGGCGCAGCGCGCCTGCGACGCGTCGCTGGCGCGCCTGGGGCGGCGCAGCCTCGACCTGTACCTCGTGCACTGGCCAGCGCTGCCCAAGTCCGCGGGGGGGGGTTCGAGATCCATGCACACCACGGGGGCTGGGAAGGGGGGGGGATACCCAGACATCGGGCGTCTCTAAAACATCGAGGCGGAGGTTTTTCCTTATTTTCGGCTTCTGGGGGCCCTTACTGGGCCTTGGGACCGTTAAAAAACGAATCATGATGAAAAACCGGTCCCGGGGAGTGAGTTGAGATTTCTGGGGGTCGACGTCATGTATGAAAAAATCATGACGTCGGGGGTCTGGGATTGGGAAGGGGGGATAAGGGAAGGGAAGAGGGGCAGGTTCCCCCCTCTCTTTTCTTGCCTATCTAGGAGAAGAGAAAACGCCATACACAAACTTTTGGCGCTCCGCCCGGATCTCTTGGATCCGGTCGGGGCCCCTCCAGCGGCGCCTCCGGCGCCGCCTCCCGCGCGCTCCGCGCGTCAGGGAGGGGGGCCCAGCGAAGATCCAGGAAATCCGCGCGGAGCGCCAAAAGTGTATGTGTATGGCATTTTCTCTTCTGCTGGATGGGGAAGGGGGCTACGAAGCTGCTGCATGCAGCCAGTCTCGGCCCCGCCGCTGGGCGCGCGCCTCGATGATGGCCTGGGCGCGGGAGGCGCTGGGAGCACCAGCCGCATGACCCCCTTGGTTCGCCCGACCCGAATATCCACCGGCCTGGCCGCTCTTCATCTCCCTCCTCCTCCTCCTCCTCCTCCTCCACCTCGTTCTCTGCCTCCTCCTCCTCCTCCTCCTCCTCCTCCTCCTCCTCCTCCTCCTCCTCTCCTCCTCCTCCTCCTCCCCCTCCTCCTCCCCTCCTCCTCCTCCTCCTCCTCCTCCTCCTCCTCCTCCTCCTCCTCCCTCCTCCTCCTCCTCCTCCTCCTCCTCCTCCTCCTCCCCCTCCTCCCGCCTCCTCCCCCTCCTCCTCCTCCTCCTCCCCCTCCTCCTCCTCCTCCTCCTCCTCCTCCTCCTCCTCTCCTCCTCCTCCTCCTCCTCCTCCTCCCCCCTCCTCCTCTTCTCCTCCTCCTCCCCTCCTCCTCCTCACTCCTCCTCCTCCTCCTCCTCCTCCTCCCCTCCTCCTCCTCCTCCTCCCCTCTCCTCCCTCCTCCCCTCCTCCTCCTCCTCCTCCTCCTCCTCCCTCCTCTCCTCCTCCTCCTCCTCCTCCTCCCTCCTCCTCCTCTCCTCCTCCTCCTCCTCCTCCTCCTCCTCCCCTCCTCCTCCTGCCTCCTCCTCCTCCTCCCCCTCCTCCTCCTCCCCCTCCTCCCCCTCCCAGGGTCCACGTCTGGCCCGGCCAGGGGCTGCGGACGCGTCTGCGGGCGAAGAGGAGGCTGTGCACCTGCAGCGCCGATCCTGGCTGGGCCCACTTCGGGCCCGGGACCGGTGCACGTGCCTCGGCGGTCGGGAGCCTTGAGACGGGCTCAGCGGCGGACCTCAAGAGAAGTGCCTCCTCCTCCTCCTCCGCCTCCTCCTCCTCCTCCTCCTCCTCCTCCTCCTGTTCCTCGAAACTTGGGCGCCACGCAGAGTCCGCGGCTTCCTCCGTCCGCCGCGTCCCGCAGCTGCACGTGCCTCGGGACGTGCCCCGGCGGTCGGGAGCCTTGAGACGGGGGTCAAGAGACCCAGACACCCTTGGGTCATGAACAATTCATGACGGGAGGTTTTGCCTCATTTTCGGCTTCTGGGTGCCCTTCCTGGGCCTCGAGACCGTCAACAAGATGACCCATGATGAGAGAAACCCGTCCTGGGGAATGGGTCGAGATCTCTGGGGGTCGACGTCATGACAAAATCATGACGTCGGGGGTCTGGGGACGGGTGGTCAATGCAAACGGGGGTCAGCCAGAGCGCCAGATCTTGCAGGATCCTGCAGAGCCAGGGTCGCATTGGCCCGGGCTTGGGCGCAGGATCCCCTGCAAGATCCTGCAGGATGCTGCAGGGCCGGGGCCGCAGTGGCCCGGGCTTGGGTGCAGGATCCTGCAGGATCCTGCAGGATCCTGCAAGGCTCAAGTCGGCCCTGTCCCTCTACAGGGGGAACATTCAAAAATAGTAAAAAAATAGTCTGGGGACTATTTTTGACATTTTTGAGCATTTTAGGGTTTTATTTGGGCTATTTTCATTTTTCGTCCAAAATCCCCCTGTAGGGGGACAGGCCCGACTTCACGCAGGGCCTGGCTGACCCGGGCTGGGACTGCCCCGGGTCAGCAGCTCCCCGAGGCGGAGCCCGGAGGGCGTGCGCACCGCCGCTCCGGGCCAGGAGCGGTGCACGTGCGCTATTCTCTCTCTCTCTCTCTCTCTCTCTTTCTCTCTCTCTCCTGGACGCCCGAAATGGGCACGGAAAGAATGGGCACACTTCGGAGGGCACCAACTATACACCAACACCGATCTTGGCCCAGGATCACCCTGGGCCCAGGGTGATCCTGGGCCAGGATCGGTGTTGGTGTATAGTTGGTGCCTTCCTGCACTGCCCAACAGCAGGTCCTGGTCATTTTGAGCAGGGTTCGCTGTCCACGCCGCCGCGGCCTGTGTCCGTTCGAGACAGAAGACCGCCTGCCCAATAGCGGCCGCTGTTGGTTTGGGACAACCTTTGTTGTTGGGCATTGTACCCGTTTGTTCCGTACCTATTTCGGGCGTCTCCTTCTCTCCTCAGACTCCCTCGAGTCGTGACAACAATCATGACGGGGAGTTTCTCCTTATTTGGGGCCTCAAAATCAGTCCCGGGGAAGGGGTCCAGACCTCTGGGGGTCTCTCTCTCTCTCTCTCTCTCTCCTCTCTCTCTCTCTCTTTCTCTCTTCGGGGAAACGTAAGACTCGAGTGCGCTTAAGTCGGGCCCGTCCCTCTACAGGAGGAATGTTCAAAAATAGTCAAAACATAGTCTGGGGACTATTTTTCGAGTATGCTGTGATCATCCTGGAGTATTTTTAGTCTTTCGTCGAAAATCCCCCTGTAGGGGGACACGCCCGACTTAGGAGTACGCCGGAGCGCGGATTCGCCCACGCTCTTCGACGAGCCCGTGCTGAGCTTTGACGGCCCAGTTTTCGTGGGACGTCTGCAGCGGGAGCCGCGTCAAATGTCAGACCAGGTCGCGCCATTTTCATGACGGTCCCGTCGGGCCGGCCCGAGTCCTCCGAACCGACCTCCTCTCCTCACGCCTCACCTCTCTCTCTCTCTCTCTCTCCTCTCATCACGCCTCACTCACCTCTCTCTCTCTCTCTCCTCTCCTCGGGCCGACCCGAGTCCTCTCCTCTCCTCACGCCTCACCGAGAGGTCAGTGAGGCGCGCGCCTCACCGACCTCTCTCTCTCTCTCTCTCTCCCCGGATGCGTCGACCTCCTCGCCCCGCCAGGGTGAGCCACAGCAGCCCGCAGCACCGGCGCGCGAGGCGACGGGCGGCGAAGCGGCAGCACTCTTGTTTGTTTGTTGCCCGCGCGGGTCTCTCGGCTCGGCTTCAGTCGAGCCTGTCCCTCTACAGGGGGAGTATCCAAAAATAGTAAAAAAATAGTCTGGGGACCATTTTTGGAGCATTCTTTGATCACTTGGGGTATTTTTTTGAGTATTTTTCGTGTTTCGTCGAAAATCCTTCTTCCCCTCCTCACTCCTCCTCCTCCTCCTCCTCCCTCCTCCTCCTCCTCCTCCTCCTCCTCCTCCTCCTCCTCCTCGCTCCTCCTCCCCTCCTCCTCCCTCCTCCGCTCCTCCTCCTCCTCCTCCTCCTCCTCCTCCTCCTCTCATCCTCCTCCTCCTCCTCTCTCCTCCTCCTCCTCCTCCCTCCTCCTCCTCCTCCTCCTCCTCCTCCTCCTCCTCCTCCCTCCTCCCCCCCCTCCTCCTCCCTCCTCCTCCTCCTCCTCCTCCCCTCCTCCTCCTCCTCCCCTCCTCCTCCTCCTCCTCCTCTCCTCTCCTCCTCCTCCTCCTCCTCCTCCTCTCCCTCCTCCTCCTCCTCCTCCTCCTCCTTCTCCTCCTCCTCCTCCTCCTCCTCCTCCTCCTCCTCCTCCTCCTCCTCGAACAACCTGTAGGGGGACAGGCCCGACTTCACTCTCGGCTCGGCGCTGGGCCCCCCCTGGCGGCGCCTCCGGCCAGGAGGCGCGCGCCCCGCGCGGCAGAGGGGGGGCGCGCCCCGCGCCGACCCGAGAGGGCCACGTGGCCTGCCGACGGACCCGCGGTGGCCTGGTGCTTTTCTCTCCGCCACAGGGGGAGGAGGAGGAGGAGGAGGAGGAGGAGGAGGAGGAGGAGGAGGAGGAGGAGGAGGAGGAGGAGGAGGAGAGAGGGCGGAGGAGGCGGAGGAGGAGGAGGAGGAGGATGAGGAGGAGGAAGAGGAGGACGGAGGAGGAGTAGAAGGAGAGGCGGATAGGAGGAGAGGAGGAGGAGGAGAAGGAGGAGGTGAGGAGGAGACGAGGAGGAGGAAGAGGAGGAGGTGGGACAGGAGGGGCGAGGAGGATGAGGGGAGGAGGAGGAGGAGGAGGAGGAGGAGCAGACCGATCTCCGTCTGCTGGACCATGTGAACGGAAGCTGCCGATGCTGCCGAACCTGCCCATCGGTCGTTATATTTTCGGATTCCCAGGTGCCCATCGGTCGTTATATTTTCGGATTCCCAGGTTCCAATATCTATTTTGAGCGCCTTCCTAATTACTTCAAGGATCGAGTGGCTTCACCTCTTCTGTCCTCTTTAGGGGCCGAGCGGACACCCAATCTAATTTCAACGCCTTCCTACTTTATGTTTCTACGTACTTCTTCCGTCCGATGGGTATTCGTCTATACAAAATCTCTGTAGGTGTTCTGACTGTCAAGATCACGTCGAAAATCCTAACATTAGCTCCAAAGAGTTGCAGAGTGCTAGTTGTTTTTTCGAGGACAGGGGATTCTGGAGTATGCGATCGCGTATGGCGGGCTTTCGGCCCTCTGATGGTTTCATGCTTCTCACATCCTCTCTCTTTCTCCCTCTCCCTCTCTCTCTGTCACTCTCTCTCTCTCTCTCCCCCTCTCCCTGGAGGACGCTCAGATTGTTTCCCTTGCCTTTGTGGCGGAATTACACGTAGATTTCCTTAATGTCGGAATTACACATAGATTCCCTTTGTGTGAGAGGCTACCAACTGATTCCCTTTGTGGGGGCACACATCGATTCCCTTTGTGGGGGCCTACGCATAGATTCCCTTTGTGGCGAAACTGCAAGCAGATTCCTATAGTGGGGGGTTACAGATAGATTCGATTTGTGTGAAGGCGTAAACAGATTCCTGTTGTGGGGGTTTACAGATCGATTCGATTTGTGTGAAGGCGTACACATTGAATTCCTTTGTGGCGGGGGTGGGGGGGTCTGGCCCTGGGGCCAGTGGATCCAGTGGATCCAGAGGGCTTTTTTTGTTGCTGGAACCTTCCCCCCAGGGCCCAGGGCCCAGCCCCTGAGCGAGGAGGTAGCCCCGCCGGCGTCGGCGGCACCTTGTCTTCCTCTTCGCCCCCCTGCTTCTCTTTCTCCTCCTCGCCGTCCTCCCTCTTCCCTCCTGCTCCTCCTCGTCCTTCCAATCCTCCCCCCCAGATTCTCCTTTTCCCCTGGTCCTTCTCGTTTCCCCCCTCCTCCTCCTCCTCCTCCTCCTCCTCCTCCTCCTCCGCGTCCACCTTCGGACCACCCAGGAGGAGGAAGAGGAGGAGGAGCTCCGACGATGCTTCCGTCACCAGCATGGTCATCGATATCATCAGCAGGTTGATGCATATCATCGGCATCGTCATCAACAGCATTTTCCAAACCATACTCGTCATCACCATCGTCATCAGCAAGGTGTTGATAGTCATACTCGTCAGCACCATCGTCACCAACAGCATCATCACCAAACCATGAAGAGTAGGTGGAAGAGGAGGAGGAGGAGGAGGAGGGGGCAGCTAACGCGAGCTAGCACTGCGCCCCGACCGAGCCTCGGGCTCAAGCAGCCCGAGGCTCAAACAGCTTTATAGATGCTTTCATTGGAATCCCTTTGTAGATGCTTTCATTAGGAATCCTTTTGTAGAGGCTTTCAATAGGAATCCTTTTGTAGAGGCTCTCAATAGGAATCCTATTGTATTGGCTTCCAATCGGAAGCCTCTTGTAGAGGCTCTCAATAGGAACCCGTTTGTAGAAATGTTCAACCATAATTTTTTTGTAACGGACTTGTATAGGAATCTTTGCGTAGATGATCTCACTAGGAATCCTTTTGCAGAGGCTCCCAATAGGAATTATTTTGTATTTGCTTTCAATGAGAATGCTTGCGTAGAGGATCTCAATCTCAATAGCAACCCGTTCGTATAAACTTTCAACCATAATTATGTTGTAACGGATTTGTATAGGAATCCTTGCGTAGCTGCTCTCAATAGGAATCTTTTTGCAGAGGCTCTCAATAGGAATCGTTTTGTGTTTGCTTTCAATGAGAATGCTTACGTAGAGGGTCTCAATCGGAATCATTGTGCAGATGATTTCAATAGGGATCCTTTTGTAGATGCTCTCAATGGGAATCCTGTTGACAGGCTCTCAAAAGGAATCCTTTTGCATTTGCTTTCAATAGGAATCGTATTGTAGAGGATTTCAATAGGGATCATTTTGGAGAGGCGCTCACTAGGAACCCCTCTGTAGAATAGGAATCCGATGGAATCCTGTTGTAGAGCCTCTCAATAGGAATCCTTTTGTATGTGCTTTCAATCGGAATGATAGTGTAACGGGTTTCAATCGGAATCCTTTTGTAATCGTTCTCAAGAGGAATCCTATTGCAGACGCTTTCAATCGGACTCATCTTGTAGGGGCTCTCAATATGAACCCGTTTGTAGACGCGTTCAACCATACATCCTTTTGTAATGGGTTTGTGTAGGAATCCTTGCGTATACGCTCTCAGTAGGAATCCTTTTGTAGAGGCTCTCAGTAGGAATCCTTTTGTATTTGCTTTCAATGAGAATCCTTGCGTAGAGAATCTCGTTCGGAATCATTGTAAAAGATTTCCATCAGAATTATTTTGTAGATGCTCTCAATATAAATCCTTTTGTACAGGCGTTCAATCGGAATCCTTGTGTTGAGGTTCGCAATAGTGTTTTCAATAGGAATTCTAGTGTAACGGGTTTCAATCGAAATCCTTTTGTAGAGGCGCTCAATAGGAATCATTTAGTAGAGGTTTTCAATCGGAATCCTTTGGTAGAGGCTCTCACTAGGACGCCTTTTGTATTGGCTTTCGTTCGGAATCCTATCGTAATGGGTTTCAATCGGAATCCTTGTGTACACGCTTTCGGTCGGAATCGTATTGGGAGAAGCGGTCATGTGATGAAAAAAGGCGGCCCTCATATTTCCTCGTCTTCCTCCTACACACACATGAACGGAACGCACAGAGACGAAGAAATCAAATATAATAGACAAAACATAGACGCGGCGCCGAGGCGAGAATACCGTTTTTGAAACAAACGTGCGCGGCGCCGAGGCGAGCGTGCGAAATTTACAATAATGGTATAGCAAACCGCATACTCTACAATCCCCTGGCCTCAGTTGTTAGGCCACAGCTCGAGAATCAGACCGATCTCAGGCGTGCACCCTCCGAATGGACTGTTCCTGGGCCTCATGGGGAGGGTGGCGGTGCATCAACCACCACGGGGAGCCACCGACTTGTTCTGCGCCGCCGCCCTCCCTGAAGCTGCGTGCAGCGTTCGTCGGAGGGTGCCTGCGTGCCTACATTTCCGTGGCGCGTGCCCCACGCGAGGACGCGGGGCTCCCAGAGGTCCCGACCTTTCGCCCAGGGCGCCCTCGAGGGCAAGAAGTCATTCGCGCTTCGCCGTTCGACCCCGATTCCTCCTCACCCTCCATTTCTCCCCTGGGAGGCGGCGCGAGAGCTTCGCGCTTCGCGCAGCGCGAAGCGCGAAGTTGGGAGCCCCTGTTTCGCCCAGGGCCAGTGTTCCACCCCGAGTCGCTTTTTTGTGGACGGCCCCGAGGCCTGGCGAGGGCCCCCGAAGAGGCCCCAGGTGGCCCCACAGAAGCACGCGGCGCGCTTCTCCGCGCCGCGAGCACGCCTGGGCCGCCAGCTTTGTGCTCACGTCGCTTCTGGCCTCCCCCTGGAGTAAGGTCGGGCATGTCCTCCTGCAAGCGGATCTTCGACGACAAATAGAACATAGTCGACGAATACCCCTAAGATGGTCAGGAATACTCAAAAAATCATCCCCGTATCATTTTTGGGCTATTTTCGGGTATTCCTCCTGTAGAGGGACGTGTCCGACTTAACCCTGGAAGCCTGGCGAGGGCCCCGAAGAGGCCCCGGGTGGCCCCACAGGAGGAGGATGAGGAGGGGAGAATGAGGAGGAGGAGGAGGAGGACGAGGAGGAGGAGGAGGAGGAGGTGGAGGCCAGGGCCGCCAGTTTTGTGCCCATGCCGCTTCGGGCCTCCCCCTGGAGGCACGAGACGTGGCGCGGCCTGGAGGAGGTCTACCGCTCGGGCCGGGCACGGGCGATCGGGGTCAGCAACTTCACTGCCGAGCACCTGCGGCAGCTGCTGGAGGACTCCTCCTCCTCCTCCTCCTCCTCCTCTCCTCGTCCTCCTCCTCCTCCTCCTCCTCCTCATCTCCTCCTCCCCATCGGTCCTCGTCCTCCTCCTCCTCCTCCTCTTCCTCCTCATCTCCTCCTCCTCCTCCTCCTCCTCCTCCTCCTCCTCCTCCTCCTCCTCCTCCCTCGTCGTCGTCCTCCTCCTCCCAATCCTCCCCTCCTCCTTCCTCCTAGTTTTTGGCTTTGTCGGTGACCCCCGCGGCGGACTTCGCGGTTCGGCGCTGGAGCCGGCTGGGGGCCCGAGGTTGCCCAGCTTTCGCCGCGGCCACCAGGGAGGGGTGACAGGGGCTCTTCCTCGTCGCCACCGTCGGACGCGGCTTGACAAAGCAGCGAGTCTCAACCCCGGCAGGGGTCCTGGGGACCGCTCTCGAGCGGATTTGCCTTCGGCCCCCCCCTTTGTGTTGATTTTCTCCCCGGGCCCATCCTGGAGGCCTCCTGGGTGGGGTCCGAGTAGATGGGGTCGGAGGATGGCGCCGCATCCGCGATGCATCGGCGGTGCGGCTCGATGCGGAGCCCGAGTATCCACACGCCGGCGTCGTCGATGTATCGCCGACGTCGCCAATGCATCGGCGATCCATCGCCGATGCCTTGGCGATGCGGCGCGATCCTCTGGCCCCATCTACTCCGACCCCATCTAGGGGGCCTCTACGTCCAGCGCAGATCCCCCCCAGCCGCCTTCCAAGTGCGGCGCTGGACCCCCACCCCTGGCGCGCGGAGCGCCCCGGGGGTGGCGCCGGAGGCGCCGCCAGAGGTGGGCCCAGCGCCGTTCCAGGAGATCCGCGCGGAGCTTCGAAGCACACAGATGCAACTAATCTTCGACTCCGGGGAAAATATGGGCAAATGTGGGAAGTGGGAAGGGAGAAGACGAAAATCCAGAAAATATGGGACAACATGGGGAATCCTGGGATCTGTGTCTATGTATCTGTGTGTCCCTGGGCCCCGTCACCTGGGCTCCGCCGCAGGCAGGGTCGGGTCGACCATCATATGGCGCCGGAGGGGCGCGTGGCACCGCCGACGCGACGGCGATGGGATGCGGCTCGAGCAAGGGCCCGATCTTCTCCGTCACCACGCCGCCGGTGTGTCGCCGCAGCATCGGCGGAGCATCGGCCGAGGTGCGATCCTCCGATCCCGTCTGCTCTGGCCCTGGGCGGGAGGCCCTCCCTCGACCAAAAAGTCAACGGCGCCAGCCCACCTGCGGCCCGCCATCCTGCGCTGTGCGGCTCCTTGGGCGCCGTGGGGCGCACGCCACGCAGAAGCCCACGGCAGATGTCCTGGTAGACGCTGAGCGCCCTGGGGCCTGAGGAGGAGGAGGAGGCGGAGGCGGAGAGGAGGAGGAGGAGGAGGAGGAGGAGGAGGAGGAGGAGGAGGAGGAGGCGGAGGCGACGGCGGCGGCGGCGGCGGCGGCGGCGGTGGCGGCGGCGGCGGCGGCGGCGGATGATGAGGCGGAGGAGGAGGAGGCGAAGGAGGAGGAGGAGGAGGAGGCGGAGGAGGAGGAGGAGGAGGAGGAGGAGGAGGAGGAGGCGTCGTTTGTGTTCTGGTCCATCGCCAGAGGACGGCGTGGAGCAGGTGCCGATGGTGAACCAGGTCGAGGTGCACCCGCTCTGCGTGCCCGCGGACACGCTGGCCTTCTGCGCCGCCCACGGCATCGTCGTGGAGGCCTACTCGCCCCTGGGCGCCGGCCCAGCCAGCAACGCGGCCAGGGCGTCGGGCGGGCTGCTGAACGGCACGCGGATGCTTCTCGGGCACGAGGCGGTAGGCGCGGTGGCCGCGGAGGTGCGGCGCACGCCAGCCCAGGCTCGTCGGCGAGCGATGGGGTGGGGGAAGTGAGAAGGAGAAGGCCTTCTCAGGAGGCGGCGGTACTTCGCGAAGAAGCCCTCGCGCCTTCTTAGAAGGCTTCTGGAAGCTCAGACAACTTCCCAGAAGGCCAGAGGATTTTCGAGCCCTCTGGGAAGGCCCGCCCCTCCTCCTCCTCCTCCTCCTCCTCCTCCTCCCTCCCTCCCTCCTCCTCCTCCTCCTCCTCCTCCTCCGCCTCCTCCTCGCTTCCTCCTCCCGCCTCCTCCCCCTCCTTCCTCCTCCGCCTCCTCCTCCTCCTCCTCCTTCATCCTCCTCCTCCTCCTTCTCCTCCTCCTCCTGCCTCCTCTTCCGCCCTTCCTCCATCCTCCTCCTCCTGGCCTCCTCCTTCATCCTCATCCTCCCTCCTCCTCCCGCCTCCTCCCTCCTCCTCCTCCCTCCTCCTCTGCTCCTCCTCCTCCTCCTCCTCCTCCTCCTCCTCTCCTCCTCCTCCTCATCCTACCTCCTCCTCTCTCCTCCCTCCTCCCTCCCCCCCCTCCCTCCTCCTCCTCCCTTCCTCCCACGCTCCCCCCCTCTCCTCCCTCCTCACTCTTCCCTCTCCCTCCTCCCTCCTCCCTCCCTCCCTCCGCCCTCCTACGCTCCCCCCTCCATCCTCCCCCTCCTCCTCCTCCTCCTCCTCCTCCTCCTCCTCCGCCTCCTCCGCCTCCTCCTCCTCCGCCTCCTCCGCCTCCTCCGCCGGCAGGTGCTGCTGCGCTGGGGCCTGCAGATGGGCTGCGTCGTCCTGCCGCGGAGCTCGGACCCGGGTCGCATCGCGGAGAATGGCCGTCAGGGCGCCTCGTAATGCACCGAGCGCGTTCCACTACTCGCAGCGTGTCCTCCTCCTCCTCCTCCTCCTCCTCCTCCTCCTCCTCCTCCTCTTCCTCCTTCTCCTCCTCTTTCTGCTCCTCCAGCCCGTCCCCCAAGAAGCCTCACAGGCGACCTCCCGACCTCTCCTTGGGCCTGCGGTGAGGTGCGGCGGGGAGTGCGTTTCGAGGCCAACCGTGGCAGCGGAGGCCGCAAGCAGCCCCAAGGAGGGCGAAAACGCCTACAGTGGAGACCCATGGCCGATGCATCGCCGATGCGTCGCCGATGGCATCGCCGATGCGGCGCGATCCCTCGACCCCATCTACTAGGACCTCAATTGGGAGGTCTCCAGAGGGCGGTGCGCACGAGGGGGGGAGGCGCGAGGGGAGTGGCCTTCCTGGCCTTCCAGGAAGGCGGCGCGCGTCTTCGGAGGCAAGGGCCTCCTTGGAAGGGCCTGGGGAGGCTTTCAGAGAGGCTCCTCGGAAGCTGGGAGGTCACCTGCAAGAAGAGGCCTCTGCCCTCTTAGAAGCTCCCCCGCCTTCTGTGACGGCCGCCCCCATCGCGCCGCAGTGGAGACCCATGCCAAGAAACGCCCTGCTTGCCTCCAGGGTGCCCTGGGTTTTGTGGGCTTCGATGGCTTTGACATGGAAAGCGTGGCGTGCCCACACCAACAAGCAGTGGACGTCCTGGGGTCTCAGGGTTGGGTTTCTTGTAGAAGGTTTCTTGTGGTCGAGCCCCTACTGTACTCGCAAAGTGCGTACCCGCAAACGCCCCCCAAACATGTCTGCCCGTATGTCATGGATCGTAAGTTCCGCGCGGCGGATCTGGGCCGTTGGCGAGGAGACCCCGTGCGAGTCGTGGAACGCGGTTGTCTAGTAATGTGTGTGTGCGTCTCAGGATGGAAGTCGTCCGCCTCTGAGTGCCACCCCCTCCCTCCCTCCTCCGCGGCCGCCCTGTCTGTCTCAGTCTCTCCTCCTGCACGCCGGGCAATTCGCTCCTCGGTAGGTCCGTTTGGCCCGACCGCCAGTGCAGCAGTCCTGCCCCGCCGCCGACGAGAGTCTGTGTGTATGTGTGTGTGTGTGTGTGTGTGTGCGTGCGTGCGTGCGTGCGTGCGTGCGTGCGTGCGTGCGTGCGTGCGTGCGTGCGTGCGTGCGTGCGTGCGCGTGTTGTGTGTGTGTGTGTGTGTGTGTGTTGTGTGTGTGTGTGTGGTGTGTGCGTGCGTGCGTGTGTGTGTGTGTGTGCGTGCGTGTGGTGGTGGGTGGTGGGTGGGTGGGTGGGTGGTGGGTGGGTGGGTGGTGGTGGTGGTGGGGGTGGGGGGGCGGAATCATGACCGCTTTGGGCTCAAGGCGGCCCAGCTTCTCGGGCCGCCTCCCCAGAGCTGGACCGGGGGGCACCCATTCGTTTTGGGCTGAGGCGCCACCGCGGGCCAGGAACAAGAACCTTTTTTTGTTGTTGCGTAGCCTTCTTTCTGCGGTTCCCTCCCTCCTGCAGACAACGCGACCTGCCTCCTCCTCCTTCTCCTCCTCCTCCTCTCCTCCCTCCCTGCCCTTCCCTCCCTCCCTCCCTCCTCCCTCCCTCCCCCTCCCTCCCTCCCTCCTCACTCCCTCCCTTCCCCTTCCCTCCCTCCTCCCTCCCTCCCTCCTCCATCCCTCCCCTCCCTCCCCCCTCCTCCTCCTCCCTCCCCTCCCTCCTCCTCCTCCTAAGGATCCTCCGCCTTCACTACTCCTCCTCCTCCTCCTCCTCCTCCTCCTCCTCCTCCTCCTCACCCCCTGTCAAGAACCACTCTGGCCCAAGCCTTTGCTGGGTCCAGGGTGCCCCTGGGCTGGACCAGCGTTTCGATGTGTTTTCTTGAGCGCCTCCTCCAATGCGAACGCAGGGGTGCTTGGTCACTGGGCGCTACGGGTTCCGCCCGTCCCGCTTGGTGGGTGAGCTTCTTTGCCGCACGCCAGTCATGTCTGTGCTCCTTGCTTTCGCGCTCTTCTTGGTGGTCGAATCGAAGGTGATCGTTGAGCACAATGCAGCGGCAGCGTTCGACGAGGAGCGCCTCACCACTTCTCGTTCTCCGTCTTCATGTACGGCAGTCTTTGGTGTGTTGCGGTGTCAGCGCCTTGGTGTACGTGGTCCCCGCGCTCATGTGCCTACCCGTCTCGCTTCATCGCCCCCATCTTCGGCTCTCGTGGCTGGCCTTCTTGCTGTGCTTCTTCGGCTTCGGGCAGGACGTAGTGCTGGACAGCGTCGCCTTCCCTGCCCCGCTTTCGCTTCCTGGGGTCGTGGTGGTGGATATGCCGCCGGGCCTGCTGGGGCGCGTCAGACGCTCCAGAGCTGAAGTACCTCCTCAAGAGCAAGGTGACGGACAAGATTGTGACCGCCGTCGGCGTCGCGACGGTGACGATCGACAGCAAGGCGCCCATCGTGAGCTTCGCGACTTGGGCGTACCGCTGCCTGTACATCGTATTCATGGTGTTGTGCCTCAGCGGGCGGCCGCCTGGCATTCTGTTCCATGCGATGCAGGTGGCGCGACAGTTCAGGCAGCATGCAATGCAGTCGGTCGCCATATTTACCTAGACTTGTTCGACAAGGCTGTTCGAATGTTCTCATTTTTCTCACCGCCGCTTGGCGACCTCGGCGAGGCTCTTGTCCCGCCCGACAGGCTACGGTTGGACCATGGCGTTGTCGTTCTTGCTGGGTCGCGTCTCTGTCTTTGGATCGGCTACCCTGAGCAGCCAATCGTGAGGCCAGGCGTACTTGAGTTTATGCGTGCTACCGCGGCTGGCACTGATTCTAATCCAGGCGCCAATTTTCAAGTCGGGACCAGAGATTCCTCGCCCTCCCCCTGCTTGGCTCGGAGCGCGGCCTGAGTCCAGCAGGGAAATAGGTACTCGAGATCGCAGCAGGTCTCGCGCCCACATTCGCCGCGCCAGGTCCATCTCTTCGCCGAGTAGCTCGCTCCCTTCCAGCGGAGGCTCGGCCTCCCGCAGCGGCGGTGGCTCACTGTCGCCCAGGGAGGAGCCCAGTAGTTTCGTGAAGTCCGCCAAGGAAGGGCTGCGCCGCGCTCAGGAAGCTTTCGAGGAGGTGAAGTGCCGTCGGGTCGCTTCTTCACCGTCTCCCCGGCATGGTAAGCAAGAGTCGGTGGCCCGTCCCCTTGCTGGCCCGCCGCCAACGCGCCTGGTTGAGGCCCGCCGCGCCAAGGAGCGCAGCAGGGCTCCTGAGGCCAAGTTCCACGCAGGGAAAGCCACGCGTTCGGTGGGCCACTCACCAATCCTTTTTACATTAGGCGAATTGGAGGTTCGCCTGTGAGTGGTGCAACAATCGTCTCCCGCGCGGCTCGATCACTTTCTGGTGTAAAACGTGTGAGTACACGGTTTGCGGCGATTGTTACTCACCGCCAACGCCTCCTGGGGAAGTGTCTGTTTTAGCGCAGGAGGGGGGCTCAGCAGCTAGCGGCTCTGCTCCGTCGCAACGCTCGGCCGCCCCCGTTGCCGAAAGCGTGCCTGCCTCGGCACGTGCCGCGGAGCAGGTCCCAAAGAGACTGTTGAGGCCCGACTATGATGATGTGCACCCCCCAGTGAGCACGATATGCAAGGGCAGAGCCTGGCCAGGATTGTATTCGAATCAGGCAGGTACTACTGTGCCGCTCCTTCGTGTCGCAACTTCAGGCCCGAAGGATGGATTCCGTCCTGCTCCAGGTGCCAGAGGAGCACATGGGACGGCCAGTGGCGGGGTCTTGCCTCGCTCAATGCGGGCAAGGGCTTCGTGCGCAGATTTTGTTGGCTCGAGGAATGCACGGAGGCAGACCTGCCCAAGTGGCAGCGCTGGTTCACGCACCGACAGAACATGTACGGCCGCGCATTTCCCCCCCGACTCCCCCGAATGGAGGCTCCAAGTTTGCCCCGCCGCACTTTAAGGCCTGGCGCGGCTCGGCGCTCCACCCTTTTGGGGTGCGTGCCCTCCTGGATATCCCAGGCCTGCCGTGCTTGCGGTGCGGGTCTCTTTTTCTTGTCTGGTCCCGTCGGTGCTTGGCACATTCACCCCCCCCTCTCTTGTTTGGAATATTCGCGGGCGCGGCCTGGCTGCGCGTGTCGGTGCCCCTCCCCGTGGTGGTCCCTCGGGGTTCGGTGGACTTTTCGTTGTTGGCGTGTTTGGTCTTTGGCCTTTCATTGCTGCGCGATCGTGCGGTGCGTCCAGGCTAGAATCCTGATAATTTGTGCGGAGCATTGCGTGGCCACAGGGGGCAAGGGCCTGATTGTGGTCCTGGGGCCTTGCGTTTTAGAGCGGCTGCTGTGTGTTTCTTTGGAGCGCGGGGTGTGGGCGCAGGCATCGCCAGCACGGCACGTATTTCTTGCCCCTCACGGGGTTTTTTGGCTGTGGATGTCCAACGCTGACAGGTCCCGCACTGCCAGTTGCTAGCACTATGCGGTGGGCCCGTGGAGGCCAACAAAGTCCTCCTCCTCCTCCTCCTCCTCCTCCTCCCCCTCCTCCTCCTCATCTTTCTCCTCCTCCTCCCCCTCCTCCTCCTCCTCCTCCTTCTCCTCATCC